GAATTATGGCCCCTGATTGTACGAAAAATCGCATTTTTAGCTTGTGGACCATATAGAGGTCATAATTTTTATCCGATTTAAAAAACCGTATTATTATATCACCGTTACACCCTAAGGATGAATGAGTTTGAATTTCATGAAAATCGGCCCAAAATTGACAGACAAAATGGCCGCCGTTCGTTCTCAAATAGCGTAAAAATATGGTATATCAAGGTTGTGGACCCTATAGAGGTTACAATTTTTATCCGATTTTGTTGAAACTTGAAATGTAAGTTTATAACCCAAAGATCTCGGTTCCTTTAGATATTCGCCCATATCGGACCGTAACTTCCTGAATTATGGCCCCTGATTGTACGAAAAATCATGTTTTTAGCTTGTGGACCCATTAGAGGTCATAATTTTTATCCGATTTAAAAAAACGTATTATTATATTACCGTTCCACCCTAAGGACAGTTGAGTTTGAATTTTGTGAAAATCGCCCCAAAATTGACAGACAAACTGGCCGCCGTTCGTTCTCAATTAGCGTAAAAATATGGTATACCAAGGCTGTGGACCCCATAGAGGTCACAATTTTTATCCGATTTCGTTGAAACTTGAAATGTAAGTTTATAATCCAAAGATCTCGTTTCCTTTCGATATTCGTGCATATCGGACAGTAACTTCCTGAATTATGGCCCCTGATTGTACGAAAAATCGCTTTCTTTTTAGCTTGTTCTCTATCTGTCTCTCGAAAATGTGGGCGTATCCTGCCTGGCAGCTGCTGGTTTCATTAAAAGTTTCACTATTGATCCGCTAGAACATAACACGAACTTAAGAACGCGAAATCCCCTTCCATTCCGGATAAGAACGACAAAAAGGGGGGTCTATGAATGAAATAAACAAAATGACGATTTAATTTGAATTTTGCGTACAACAATCAACTTTCGTGCATACGTCGACCAAAATGGACGTCAGGAGCTTTTAGGGTCATCAACCGAAACCGCTCTCTTCTCCGAGAGCCGAGCTATATACAACCCATACTAACCCGTGGACTAATAGTGAAACGTTTACCGAAAAAATTATTGTTGTACACGGAAGTTGAGTTAACTTATTATGATGGGGGTAAAGGGGAAGTTCTTAAGAAGTGAAGAATGGATCAGGCATCTACTTTAGCAGAGTTTTTAAATGTAATCTGAGGTAATTTTACTTAGGCAAGAAGGATGATATTTGTAGGCTGAATTTGACTTAAATCGTCCGTTTTGACAATTTCCCCCTTGCAGTGGGAGGAAACAGGAGGACCCGGAGAAAACACACGAGGTTGGACAGGCGACCCTACTCCTTGTCGCGTACAACCGGGGAATCGAAACCCCGCCAGTTGACTCAATGACAGACCGTATGATACAGCGTAGCGAGCACATGCTAACCATTTGGCCATCAAACCCCCCCCCTCATCGTTTTTAAGGGAGGACGGAAGGGTCATGAGTCTTCTTAAGCAGTGTTTTTGATGACATCTGAGGTTGGTCGACGTATGCACGAAAGTACGCAAAAGTCGAATTAATGGTCATTTCACCCATGGGTCCCCCGTTTTGTCGTTCTTATCCGGGATAGAAGGTGATTTTGCGTTCGTAAGTTAGTGTTATGTTCTATCGGATCAATAGTGAAACTTTTAACGAAAAAATTAATGTTGTACGCAAAAGTCGAATTAACCCCTCTCTCAGGGGGGTAAAGGGGGTGTTCTTAAGGGAGTTAGGAAGGGTCGGGGGTCTTCGTAAGCAGTGTTTTTAATGACATCTGATTTTGGTCGACGTATGCACGTAAGTTAATCGTTGTACACAAAAGTCAAATTAAATCGTCATTTTGTTTATTTCACCCATAGGCCCCCCTTTTTGTCGTTCTTATCCGGAATGGAAGGGGATTTCAAGTTCTAGTGGATCAATAGTGAAACTTTTAACAAAAAAATTAATGTTGTACGCAGAAGTCGAATTAATCCCTCTCTCAGGGGTGTAAAGGGGGTGTTCTTAAGTTAGGAAGGAAGAGTCGAGGGGTCTTCTTAAGCAGTGTTTTTGGCGACATCTGAAGTTGGCCGACTTATGCATGAAAGTTGATTGTTGTACGCAAGAGTCAAATTAAACTCGAAAATTCGAATTTTTGTCGGATCCCCCACCCCTATGGGAAGGGGAGCCGCAACTTAAGAATCAAGGTTCAGAGTATCAAACATCACTGCCCAATCATTTAACAGAGTAGACATTTTGTACGCGATTTTTGAAACAACCTGAACCAAGCTCCCTAACTATTTCTGCCGTGTAAATGAATGAAGATACATAATTTTGGAGGAATATTACTGGCGTAAATTTGAAGCAGGTAGCCGATGGATCGGTACGCTTTCATTCTATCGTTTTACGAAAACACCTAATTTTCTATGAATATTACGGACGTAAATATTAAAGGGAATGAAAGTCCCCCATACACACATAAACATTAGTTGTATACCGGTAGAAATTATGGCCTATAAAATTTACTTATTTGCTATTCAATCAAGAGTAACTGCTAATCAATTGATTAGCACTTATTTCTTAAACATCCAATAATTGCTAATCAATTATTTTTTCTTATCATATACCCTGTCACACACGGTGTAAACAAGATTATTATGATCTACGAAAAAAAGGCAATCAGATACGAAGTACTGCTCTTTGAATCCAACCAATTGCAGTATTAAATAAAAATTAGGTATATAATCAACAACATGTTGAGAGAAAAATGCATTAGGAAATGTATACAGCGATATTTTTGGTGTTGTGGGAATTGTAGAAATAAAAGCTAAAGATTAGTAAACTTGCTTACCGAAAAATTAAGAAAATTTCACATTCCAGTGCTATTTTATAGCAATATTGATAATCCATGTGTCGTGTAGTATATGCTTACTCTTATTATTCACCATTATTAACCATAGGGGTCGCTAGTTATTGGCCCCACCCTTTAAAATGGGTTTGTCCCTCCGTCTGTCTGCCTGTCCATCTGTCTGTCCGTCCGTCCGTCACACTCTTTGGGACATAATAACTATCTTTCTAATTGAGCTAGAATGTTCGAACTTGGTGTAGGTGTTTATTAGGTCAATGCCTTGATGGAGTTCGAAGATGAGCATTCTCTGCTTAGGGTAAGCAGAGATAAGCAATTTGATTGGTTGATGCTTTGGGACACAATCACTTTGGTTCTAATTAAGTGAGAGTGATGAAACTTGGTGACTAAGTTCGATAATGAGCATTTTCTGCTCAGGGTAAGCAGAGCGATAAGCAATTTGATTGGCTGAGACTTTGGAACACAATAACTCTCCTTCTAATTGAGCTAGAATGTTCAAACTTGGTGTGTGTGTTTATTAGGTCAATGCCTTGATGTAGTTCGAATGTGAGCATATTAAGCAGAGATAAGCAGTTTGATTGGTTGATGCTTTGATACACATAACTTTAGTTCTAATTAAATGAGAGTGATGAAACTTGGTGTATAGTTTCATTACATCAATACCTTGACTAAGTTTGATAATAAGCATTTTTGTTCTGGGTAAGCAGAGTTGGGTGGATTGGTCGAGACTTTAGAACACAATAACTCTCATTTTAATTGAGTTAGAATGTTCACACTTGGCGTAGGTGTCTATTAGGTGACTGCCTTGATGGAGTTCGAAGATGAGAATTTTCTGTTTAGGGTAAGCATAGATAAGCAATTTGATTGATTGATGCTTTGGGACACGATAACTTTAGTTCCCATTAAGTGAGTGTGAGGACACAGGGTAAGCAGAGCGATAAGCAATTTGATTGGCCGAGAATTTGGAACAAAATAACTATCCTTCTAATTGAGCTAGAATGGTCAAACCTGGTGTATGTGTTTATTAGATCAATGCCTTGATGGAGTTTGAAGATGAGCATCTTCTGCTTTAGGTAAGCAGAGATAAGCTATTTGATTGATTGATGCTTTGATACACAATAACTTTAGTATTAATTGAGAGTGATAGTTTCTTTATATCAATACCTTGACTAAGTTTGATAATGAGCATGTTCTTCTCAGGGTAAGCAGTTTGATTGTTCAAGACTTTGGAACACAATAACTCTCATTCTAATTGAGTTAGAATGTTCGCACTTGGCGTAGGTGTCTATTACTATTAGGTGAATGCCTTGATGGAGTTCGAAGTGAGAATATTCTGCCTAGGGTAAGCAGAGAAAAGCAATTTGAAGAGTTGATGCTTTAGGACACGATAATTTAGTTCTAATTAAGTGAGAGTGGGGACACTTGGTGTATAGCTTTATTACATCAATACCTTGACTAAGTTCAATAATGAACATTTTCTGCTGAGGGTAAGCAGAGCGATAAGCAATTTGATTGGTCGAGACTTTGGAACACAATAACTCTCCTTCTAATTGAGGTAGAATGTTCAAACTTGGTGTAGGCGTTCATTAGGTGAATGCCTTGATGGAGTTTGATGATGAACATTGTCTGCTTACGGTAAGCAGAGATAAGCAATCTGATTGGTTGATGCTTTTGGGCACGATAACTTTGGTTATAATGAAGTGAGAGCGATGAAACTCCGAATATAGAAACATTCTGTCATTGCCTTGACTAAGTTCGATAGTGTGAATTTTCTGCTTAGGCTAAGGTGCGGTAAGCAATTTGATTGATCAAGACTTTGGAACATAACAACTCTGCTTTTAATTGATTTAGAATGTTTAAACTTGGTGTAGATGTACTTTAGGTGAATGTCTTGACTGAGTTCACTGATTAACATTTCGAGCTGAAGCTAAGCAGAGCTAATCAATTTCATTGGTCGATGCTTTGGGACAAGATAATCTTGATTCTCGTATAGTTTGATTGCTCGATACTTTTGAAACAAAAAAATGTACGATTAATTACTATGTGTCATCTATCTATTTATTTTGGGATTTCAGCGGGGGACATCACCCGCACTGTTGGCTTGTTCAATATTAGGATTTATGTCACAATTCTGCAGTCTGTAATACCGTAAGAGATAGACTTAAACAGATAACTTGGAAAAATATTCTGTGGATAATTATATATTTATCTTCATTTCGAAGTTATTGTATTACAACTCAAATTATCAAGATCAGTGTGTTTTCTATAGAGCACATGGTAATACGTGTGAGCTACTGGAATGATTTTTCTACGGTCAATTCAGCTCTTTATTTATCTTTATTCTAGTAAGAAATTTCGATAATAAAAGCTATTTAAATAGCCAAAAGGGAATATTTTTAATAAATAATTATTTATATTTTACACTAATATTTTACTTCTTAGTCCAATATGTAATTTATTGTGTAAACCATATTGTTAAGTGGTATAGGAACGTACCCGACCATAAATAAAAAAAATACGAATTTAATTTGGAAAGTTTTTGTGTGTTATCAGAAATGACCGACAGTGAAAATTTTAGAGTGAAAGCCCTGGTCTAGACAAGACCGTTTTTTTCATTAACTAACAATAACAATATATATCATAACTAACTGTTATTGCATGCATGCAAAAATAATGTACTTTTATTTAACAGGAACCAGTTATCGGTAAATCATCAGGCTTCGTTCTTCTTCTAGAGTGGTTCATTGAGTAAGACGCTGGCTCGCTAATATGGAGGTTGCGTTTTTGACCCTGGGCGGGCTGAGAAAGTTCATTGTGATTTTCCGACGTAGTTCCCCCTTGTCAGCAGTGGACGGCCTGGAAAGGACAGCGGCTAGTCCTTCAGATAGGATGAAACACCAAGATCCAGTGTACACGTTGGCATGTACGTAAAATAAACCTTGACATTTGGGATTAGATGGCTGTTTTGGAAAATCCATTCTACTTCTAGACTATTATTTATATATTTTTATTTTTAAATGCAGGTTCCTTTAAAGAGGTTGCCAACATAATTTTGCTTGGAATAACATTAAATGACATCTATGCACATTATGCCTTGGATGAAGGCCTAGAGAAGATGAGTCCAGCTATTGTCTTTGCATTGCTGTTAACTTGTAGATTTATTATATATTTACAAAGCCTTGCTTCAGAACCAAAGTCTGTTTTTGATAAGAAAGATAAATTGGACATGAATACCCTTGTCCATGTTCAAGACAAAAAAGAACAGTAGAGAGAAAATAAATTCATAGGAAATGAAATAAGCTTTGCTTTCTATTAATTGTTTTATGGTAAAACAAGAAATTAATGTTAAATTCACATTAGATATATTTCTTTTCTTGTAACATATTATGTAAAATATCAAAAGGAAGTATGCAGCAGTTACCATGAAAATCAGTTGTTTTGTCAAAACTTAAAAAACTCCAATAGTGACACAATGAATGTTAAAATTTATATGACGTTAATTGGTTCAAAATTTAAATGAGTAAATTGATTCAATAATCATTGTGAAAAAATACATAGAGGATATTTGTCGTTTAAGAGTGAATAACATATTTTATTTCATCGAGAAGCAAGAAAACTTATATTTTCACGAATGCGCAGCATGAGTGAAAATATAAACGTTTTCTTGCTTAGAGATGAAATAAAATATGTTATTCACGACAAAACGACAAATGTTCTATTTAATTTATGATTTTACAATCATTTTAGGTAAAAACAACTAGCCAGTGAAATAACACTTTTATTTCACTGATAAAACGCAGTATTCCACTACTGATCGTAAAATAAATTTTTATACGCCCACATTGAAATGTGGTTGTCCATATTGTTGTCTCCCCATCCATCATTCACAATTTCTAGGAAAATACACAGACTACAGCCTACATTTATCATCTGATATGTTTAAAATTTATTGTTTCAATTAGTAAGACAAAGAAACCTATTTCATTTCTGATAATAACTTCCAGAGTTATTGCCTTTGATCACGTTGTAGAATCTTTTGAATGATCTAATCAAGAAAGTTATATGCATTGTTCATATAAGTGAAACTGGGAATCCTATTGATTTTAATTAATTTGTCTTAATTATTGCTAGAGTTATAGCCCTTGTTTACTTAGTAAAATCTTGTGAATGCTCTATCATCAAAAGGTGTCTTCCAATCTGCTCAAAATTTTGTAAGCATTGTTCAAATTAGTGAAGCAAAGATGCCTTATGATTTTGAACAATGTTCTTTAATTACTTCTAGAATTATGGCCCATGTTTTCTTTGCAAAATCTTTTGAATTATTCAAATTAGTGAAACGAAGAAGATTTTTGATTTTTAACAAAACTTATGGACCACTTAGCTGCTGTGGGCAGAAGTTTCATTGGCTGGCAACCTTCAAAGTTACATAATGCAAAATGAATATATTAAAAATTTCATTCAAATTACTTTATTCTGAGCCAAGATCTTAGCCTTTGAAGGTTTGACAAGATGTGTGCACTGATTGCAACCACTGTACTGTCGGCTCTTTATCTAAATCTTACATAATTCATATTTGATTAAAAGGTAATCTATTGTCTTTGATGACTAAAAATAAAGTAATTGATTATTTCTTAGCCATGAGGATTTTTCAAATACGAAGTGGGATTAAGTGTTCTAAAGAGAAAGCATACCCTTATCATGTGTAATACCCTCATTGCAGATTAATTTCTTGTTTTACTCTATTGTTTTAAAAAAAAAAGTATTATAAAATATCATGTTGTATTTTAAAAGAAAATATTGACAATATATATTGTATCACAATTTATCATCTTTGTAATTTAAATTTAAAACATGATGGTTAAGTTCTTTTTAGAAATTGTCTACAATTCTGAGGGTTTTTATTTTACTATGGTCACCTGTAGGAAAAGTACAGTATTATATAGAATTAGAAACAATTGCCTGTATGAATTTCAGAAACATTCCAATATTTTATAGAGGTGTTGTGATATACTACCATTATAATTCAATGCATATCTCAACTACACATATTTGTCAAATAACTTACCAGGTTTTTTTTGGTTTAGGCCAGTAGAAAATAACTATAATGTGAATAGCCATCATAGTCTTTATTATATCACCACTACTCAAACAACTAAATCATGGTTATTTAAAAGTAGTTCAGCAGAAATATATATATATATATACTAACAACTATGAAGTTATTGCATAAATTACATTAATTCTCTCTCTATATACGATATTATAAAAGCAGGCAACAATCAGAGGGAGAAATGGGGTTTAACGTCCATAGGACACAAATTAGGTAGCTTTGGGACTAACATGGTTAAATTTATTTCACATAAATGTCTTTGGCATTGAGAGGTAACCAGGACACCCAGAGAAAACCGTGAGATTGGGTGGGTAATTCTACCCCTTGTCATGTACAAGTTTTGGATCGTAACCTCGCCACTTGATTCTACGACAGGCCTTATGATCTAAAGCCCATGCATTGGACCACTAGACCACCGAAACAACCGCAACAGTTAGAGGTAGGTTAATGACTGATAGAGCCTTTTGAGGAAATTCAGAATCAGTCGGTCAGTTTTTTCACAAAACTTTAAGATTACCTTTATTCACAGGCAATTGTTAACTATTAGGAAAACAATCCTGCATAAATATTAAGAAAAAAATTGGAGGAATAGGAAAATGTGATTCAACATAATTGGTCGTAATTTTAAAATTGAGTTTATCGGTATTATTATCATATAGTCAGTAGACTTAATACTAGTGGTAGGACTTATTCCAGGCAGATCTTAATAAAACCATTGAGTAAATCAAAATATTATTTCAATATATTATTGAATTTTCCTTCTAAAATCTGTATGGTTAAAAGACAATATTAGTGTCAGCCATTATCACATATAGGAGGATAAATCTTGTTGTCCCCCTCCTTTCGAAGAAAGCAGGGGACTATTAAAATGGGTTTGTCTGTCTGTCTGTCCGCCTGTCTGTCTGTCCGTCACACTTTTTGGGACACAATAACTCTCTTTCTTATTGAGCTAGAATGTTCAAACTTGGTGTAGGTGTTTATTAGGTCAATGCCTTGATGGAGTTCGAAGATGAGCATTTTCTGCCTAGGGTAAGCAGAGATAAGCAATTTGATTGGTTGATGCTTTGGAACACGATAACCTTACTTCTAATTAAGTGAGAGTGATGAAACTTGGTGTATAGTTTCATTACATCAATACCTTGTTTAAGTTCGATAATGAGCATTTTCTGCTCAGGGTAAGCAAAATGATAAGCAATTTTATTGGCCGAGACTTTGGAACACAATAACTCTCCTTCTAATTGAGCTAGAATGTTCTAACTTGGTGTAGGTGTTTATTAGGCCAATGCCTTGATGGAGTTCGAAGATGAGCATTTTCTGCTGAGAGTAAGCAAAGATAAGCAATTTGATTGGTTGATGCTTTGGGACACGATAACTTTAGTTCTAATTAAGTGAGAGTGATGAAATTTGGTGTATAGTTTTATTACAATACCTTGACTAAGTTCGATAATGAGCATTTTCTGCTCAGGGTAAGCAGAGCGATAAGCAATTGGATTGGTTGAGACTATGGAACACAATAACTCATTCTAATTGAGCTAAAATGTTCACACTTGGCGTATGGTGTTTATTAGGTGGGTGAATGCCTTGATTGAGTTGAGAGTTCGAAGATGAGAATTGTCTGCTTAGGGTAAGCAGAGATAAGCAATTTGATTGGTTGATGCTTTGGGACACGATAACTTTAGTTCTAATTAAGTGAGAGTGAGGACACTTGGTGTATAGTAAGCATTTTCTGCTTAGGGTAAGCAGAGTGATAAGCAATTTGATTGGTCGAGACTTTGGAACACGATAACTCTCCTAATTGAGGTAAAATGTTCAAACTTGGTGTACGCGTTCATTAGGTGAATGCCTTGATGGAATTAGATGATAAACATTGTCTGCTTACGGTAAGCAGAGATAAGCAATCTGATTAGTTGATGCTTTGGGGCATGATAACCTTGGTTTTTATTAAGTGAGAGGGATGAAACTCTGAGTATAGATTCATTATATCAGTACCTTGACTAAGTTTGATGATGACAATTTTCTGTTTAGGCTAAGTATAATAAGCAATTTGATTGGTCTAGCCTTTGGAACATAACTCTGCTTTCAATTGAGGTAGAATATTAAAACTTGATGTAGAGGTTCATAAGGTGAATGTCTTGACTGAGCTCATTTCGATTGCTTGATACTTTTGAAAAAAATAAATGTGCCATTAATGAATATGTGTCATCTATTTATTTTGGGATTTCGGCGGGGACATCAGCCTCATTGTGGACTTGTTTTCCATATTTTGTGTCCTTTCCATTTCTGCAAATCTTCGTTACGCATCTATCGTAGCAATGATTTCCGTGTTAAAATTATATTTGGAACGTGTTTAACCAGTTCTATCACATATGTGATAATAGCTGAAACCAATATTATCCTTTGAATTCAATTTGCTGCATGATAGGATTCAATCTTAAACAACTTTAAAAAAACATTTTTAACCCGTTAAATGCATAGGGCGTTATATAACGTCCTGGACAACTGCCACTCAATGTGTGTAGGGCGTAATATAACGCCTTGGAGGTATTTTCCCCAACCTATTCTTCGAACATACGATCGCAGCATGTGTAGGACGTTATATTACGCCTGGTGGAGGAAATCTAATTGAAGGGAGACAACTCTATTTACTGTTAGTTTTAATATGGTTTCAGACTACTATCATTTGTATTCAGGAATAAAAAGGTCCAAAAATGATGTTTTTCATCAAATTAATTACACAATAGAGGGTAGTTAACGTTTTAAAAACTACACAGTTAACGGGTTAAATTAAATTTGGGAAATAAACTTTTTTTTATCTTTGAAGAAATCCACAGATTCAATTTAATTAAGATACATGTACTTCACTTTCTAATTGTTTATTTTATTGCAAGTCAAAATAAACAATCAGATGACTCTATACCACCCCTGGAAATATAATGTTCTCATCCATGATGTCTGTCAGTCTATCAACAATTGGCTTGCTAGAGGCTACCTTTTTTATACGCCCACATGGAAATGTGGTCGTATATTGCCGTCGCCGGCGGTCCGTCAGTCCGTCGTCCACAATTTCTTGTGAACATTCTACAGACTACATTTATCATCTGATTGTTTTGAAAAA